ATATGGCAAGTCGGCCCAAGGGCAAGGCCACTCTAATATCATGTTAAAAATTTAAAATACGTCTAAAAGGTAAGGGAACTTGAATTAACTCAAATTTGTTGTTATGATAAACTCCTTATTAGGTAGTCAATCTAGTGTCTGATTTGTTTTTCTATAGATATGTTCAATTTCACTACTCAATCTTGTTTATCAATTTAGCTTTGACAACGCGAAACATTATGAATGCTCTCCGCACTATACCCTTCCAAGTCGTTGAGAGAATTTGGACTACAATCTGATCATCTAAGTGGATTTGCAGCTTCTTAATGCCCATTTTTCTCGCAAGCTCATACTCTATTGCAAGAACCTCAACTTTAAAGGGAAAACAATTCCCTTACTTGAGTGAATATGCATAGCATTAGAATGTCTTCCTCATGAGTCATGACAAACAAGAATTATTAGAAATTACTTCAAATCCATATAATCAATTAAAATACCTTACTGTGATTTACTTTGTTGTGTAGTTTGACTCTCAACGAATGTGATGTACTCTAAGTATGAATTTGGGCAAGGTAAGAACGCATTTCTTCATTAAAATGTTGGATCTGTCAATGGACTGTTCTAATGCCTCTATTAAGTTGATGACTAATCTAATAAATTATCACCTTTAATATGAATGTTCATTGAATTTTTTGTTACTCTTTTATGAAGAAACGTAGCTTTTGCAACGGATGTATTGGTGTTGAGATTTAATGTACATTTTTTGTGGTGCTTTATTAGGTGCAGTAATGTTTCAATTAAATACAAAATGAGTTTTTTTTTTTTTTTTTTTTTTTTGCTAATGGAACATTATACTATTTTAGAATTCTTTGGTTCTATGTAGTTAAGAAAAGAGTAACTTATTCATTTTGATGGTTGCAAAGGGGGTAAATATTTAACGAAATGATCTTCCTTTTGTGAAGGGAACTTTGAAAATCAAATATGTTGTGGTATATTTGCCATAGAAAAATTTAGGTTTAGGAAGGATATTTATTTTCCAGATTCAATGGTGGGATAAGTTATTGTTTTTGAATTAAGATTATGAGCCAACCAAATGGCTGACTTATTGAGAAGTCTTCATCGAGTGACTAGTGTCTAGTGGGCCCCCATATGGGAGTGTCTAACACTCTAGCATATCATTTTCTTTCCCATATATTATGGGCGATGTGTGTGTCAACATATGAATATCAATAATAAAACACTTCTAAAATTTTTGATGTGTAATCAAACAAAAACAAAAAAACATTTTTGAAAGACGTTAAGCTATAATATACCATCGGCATGCACCCTATCTGTTCTGTTTGTATCAACCTCGTGGATACCACACATGTAAAGGACTTGCTAATCTATTAAATCTAATTTACCATGCACTTGAGAGTGATAATGTGATATATGTGTCACATTCATATCTCAACATGCGAACAAAATTTATGGAGTCGGAAAATATAGTACAGGCAGCAACAATCACGTGTTCGGTGTTCCTCATTTCAGATCTTTAAGACAGGCATTTATCTCTATATGTGACGCTGAATGTGTTAACGCATACCCAATAATATTAGTTGAATAACATAAATAATCCAAACATAAGTAAATGTTTTGTTTAAAAACAAAGAAATCAAATTTGACATAAGAACAAGGAAAAATTGAAAAAAATAATCCCACCTTTGCCCAATCTGCTCAAAACGAGCCAATCTTTGAGTATTATGGGAACAAGCCCACCTTTCACCTCTATTTTCTTAAAATGGGTTTTTGACTTGCAAATTCTTAAGCAGGTTAATTTTTTTTTTCTTAATATTTTCTCCTTAATCTCTCTCCTCTAACTTTCACCACCATTACTCCTCCAATCTTCCATAACAGCCACCTCATCACCACCACTACCCCTCCATAACAGTCACTCCCACCACCTATCACAGCTTACCTCTGCTCACCACCACCCTAGTTTACATCTGATCACCACCACCCCAGCCCACCACTAACCCCTACCACAAAGCCTCCCTTAATCGAACCACCACTTTTCACCTCACCACCACTCAACTGCGCGAAACACCAGCCAACCCCTAAATACGCTGCATCAGACCAAATCTCCACCGCCCATGGCCCTACTACTGACCCCCACAGACCACGTCCCCTTTAATCGAACCCTATCCCCACCTAACTGAAATCCAACCTTCTCTCACCTAACCACCACTCCATCGAAATCCCATCCCTGAAACCCGCTGCGTCGGACCAAAACCCCACCCATTCTGACCCAATTGGACCGAAACCCACTCCACATTACCCCGCGAAAGTCCCAATTAAACCCACCTTGGAGTACGAGAAGAACTCATGGAAGGGGGTGGTAGCGGCTGATTTTCGACGAGGAAGGGAGTGGTAGCTGCCATTGGGTGGGGAAGGGGGTGATAGGAGCTTGTTCCTATAAGGGGAATGGGCTTCTCCGGCGGAGAAGGGTGTGGTTACAGTTAGGGGTGAAAGTAATTTGGATAAAAACCGAAAACCGATCCAAACCGAACCGAAATAGCAATTCGGATCGGTTTTTTTCGGTTTTCGGTTTGGATCGGTTTAAAAAAAATCAAAACCGAAATATTTCGGTTTGGATTCGGTTTTGGGCTTCCAAAAACCGAAAACCGAAAATCCAAACCGAAATTTATGAAGCCCAAATATCCCAGCCCATTTCTCCTACCCTACATATATATACTAAAGCCCTAAAATACTCCTCTCTTATCCCAGTCTTTTTTTCCCCTCTTCTGCGGCACATTCCTCACCAAACCCTAATCCTCCAAAATTTCCCCATTTTCTCCCTCACCACCTCAGTAGCTCCGACCACCACCTTCCTCAGTCCGCTCACCACATATCCGGTCAACGTCTATCACCATCAGTTCGCTTGTGTTCGTGGCTTCGTGCTCCCGCAGATCTCGTTTCTCACCGCCGCTTGTGTTCGTGGTTTTGTGCTCCCTAAAATTACCACCAGTTCACCGCCGCGGCGCCGCTCGTGTTCGCGTTCCCTCACTATCTCCTCTCACTCAGTCACTCAAGGGTAAGAATTCTCCTTTTTTGCTTCTCTTCTTCTTATTAATTTCACTTTCGTTCTGTTAATTTCACTTATCTTTTCCTGCTTTTCTTCTTCTTAGATGTGTACTCATTTCCCACTTCTCTTTTCAAGTTTTCATTCAATAGTTCTGTTCTGTTTGAATTCGTTAATTTGTTGTTCGATCTGTTCGAAATTTGCTAATATGATGACATTGATATGCTATAATGTTTAAATTGGCGACATTGATGTTTTGTTTGTTTGATTATATTGATTTCCTTTGATTTATTTATATATATTATGTAACATGTTTATTTTTTTTATTGTTAGATATCGTTGAGCTTGATTGTTTGAAGCTGCCATGTTGAAGAAATGAAGAAGCTGCTGCCTGCCATGTTGATTCTAGCTGCTGTCAATCTACCATATTGATTTTAGTTGATGTTATTATGGTTTTAGCTGCATGTAGACTCATTGTAGACTGTTATTCCATTTTAAGACTTTTATCGTGTTTGTAATTTTATTCTAGTGGCTGGACAAATTTTTTTATTATGATTTTCCCTTAATTTGGCAAATTTTTGGCTTAAAGACCAACCATTGTAATTCACCAATTTAGGCCTACAAAAGGGCCAAAACAAACTTCCGATTAAAAGCCCAATTTTAAGGCCCAAATCAACAGCCCAAAAAAATTCGGTTTGGATTGGATCCATTTTTCAAAACCGAATTATTTCGGTTTGGATTGGATTGGATTGAATCCAAATTCGGTTTGGATTCGGTTCCAAGAATCAGAAACCGAAATAATTCGGTTTGGATTCGGTTTGGGGTATAATCCAAACCGAATACCGAACTTTCACCCCTAGTTACAGTGGTCGGGGAAGAGGGAAGGAGTTCTGATTTTATTTTTAAAATTAAAAAAATAGGACCAATTAGAAGGTGACACGTGGAAAGTCACCTTCTAAAATCAGTTACTAAATTATAAAACCAGTCATGGGCTTGTTTTGAGAAAATAGGGGGTAAAGGTTGGCTTGTTCCCGAAATACTCAAAGGTTGGCTCGTTTCGAGCAGATCGAGCAAAGATGGGATTATTCTTTTCAATTTTTCCTAAGAACAATGTTTTTGATAAATCACAATTTTTAGTTTGACAATCACTTTTTCAATCAAGTTGTTCACATAATTACCAAGTCCATAAATTTAAAACACTAATCTTATTGATAATAGAAAGATTTATACAAGTATAAATAAAAGAAAGATGAAAGTTGAATTATAGCTGCCGACTCTAGTTCAACTCATTTTACTTAAGTAGACTAAATATTTGGATAATTTGCTAATTACTACCGCAAGTTAATACCACTTTGTAAATTACTACCGTAAAATTTTTTAAGATATTGCGATTACTACCAAACCCCCATTAAACCCAACTATGACGTCATTATATCCCTTTAACCCGTGTTTGACCATGGTTAAGGGATTTAACCAACCCCCCCAAAAATGAAATGGGTTAGGGATATAATGACGTCATGGTTAAGGGCTTTAACCATGGGTTAAAGTGATATGATGACGTCATAGTTGGGTTTAATGGGGGTTTGGTAGCAATCGCAACATCTTAAAAAATTTTGCGGTAGTAATTTACAATTTTTTTAATTTGCGGTAGTAATTTACAAAGTAGTATTAACTTGCGGTAATAATTAGCAAATTTTCCTAAATATTTAGAGTAAATTTGTTCATTAACTTAAAAAAAATGAGTTTTTTCAAAACTTAACTTATTGGAGTATTTGTAAATATTTCACAAAAAGAATTAAGTCAATTGCATCCCTATTTGAAGCACCACACCCTTACCTATAAAGTTTTTCTTATTCTGGGAAATCCTGGAAAATTTATTGATTCTATCAATTAATACTAATATACCCAATGGAAAACTATGTACAGGAGAGAGATTGATTAGGAGCCATGGAGGGATAGATTGATAGACATGAAAAAGAAATATGAGCATATTAAACCAATACACTGGAAGGAAGGAAAGCTTAGACACTTACAATGGCAAAACAAAATGAAGAAAAGCCTTTAGGAACTAATAGAAATACACAATATCAAGCTTATGTTCATATAGCTCTCTCCATTACAAGGTATTTTCGGTCTCCAGGTATTATCATTGAGCTTTTACATTTTCTCCCCGAAATGTTTTCCATAGCCACAAAATCTGCATCAAGCCGCCATTTGCTACATGTAAAAAGAAGATCCAGGGCCTACTAGCAAAATTTGTAGAGATTAACTTTAGGACTACAAATGCACAAGCGATCCCCAGAAATTTTAAGTTTATTCCTTTCATCTGCACAAAAGAACATCAAAAAAATTATGATATTGCCATTCACAAATCAAAAAAATGAGTGATTTAAAACGAATGCATATGTGCAGTACCTCTTGCTGTTGAAACATTTCTTCAAGTGTTTCTTTCATGAAATCAGACAGCAAGCAACCAGCAAAAAGACCCAAAGGCATCACTAGTTCCTGATTCCTAGATATAGTAACTACAATATCTGACACAAAGCTCAAGAAAAACCAAGCCATGAAAGACCATTTAAATGCTTCCAGGCCAAGAAACAGCAACCGATGCAGTACTTGGTGTTCAGCTTTCTTCCATGGAAATTCCTTCACTGAATCAGGCAGAGATTTCCATAATTGCTCCTTGACAACTTTCATTTGCATCTTTGACTTGTCCGGTAACTCAAATTGTGCAACAACTTTTCTTGTTGAATAATTGTAAGAGATATTCTTCCAATGGGAATTACGAGTCAATTTAAATGTTTGAGGTTGAAATGGAGACGCATTAAATAATTTTACCTGTCAAGATTATGCAACATGCAATGAAAATTTACTCAATAGAGAAAGACCTTGTTTGGCAAATGGATGTTGGCGGTTGGCTGTTGGCTGGTTCACTTGGCTTGTTTGACTAGCTGGAATGTTTGGCTGTTTTATAATGACTTTTGAAATTGGCTGTTTAAGCTGGCTGTTTATAAAAGTGTTTGGTAAATTAATTGTTGGTTGTTGGCTGTTTATTAGATAATTTGTGGGCCAACAAGCCAAAAGCCAACAAAAAAGCTACTCAAAACAGCTTTTTCATTTTGGCTTAAAAAGCCAGCTTTTTCGCTGACTAAAAAGCTAATTACCAAACACATTTTTTGGCTGTTTGACCACCTAAAAAAGCCAAAACCCAAAAGCTAACCAAAAAGCCATAAAAAAGTCAATTACCAAACATGGCCAAAACCCATATAAAGCAGAGAAAAAAAATAGAAAGGTAGCAGAAAAGTAAATCTTTCAAGAACTTGTCTTAGACTTAGAAATATGAGAATGGAAATTGTATTCATATAATACAGAGTAAATAGGAGTCGGTTTAATATTTATTATAATTACCTGATTCATTTTATGTTTTTTCTACTAAAAAGATGAACTTGTAGGAACCAATGTTTACAAGAAAAATACGAAGTATAATAAAAGAAATTAAAGCCACTAATAGACGCTGTGGAAAAATAGGGGGAAATGAAGGTGCCACAATTCAAGCCACAGGTAGTAACCAAGGCTAAAGAACAATAGTGTCACATTACTCACATATAGACCATACTATCTCATCAGAGATAAGTTGTTTTGAAAGTTCAAGGCGTTGGGATTTTGATGCTAGCAGAAGAGAAGAATTCGTTATTCCAAGCTACTTGTGTAAGATTCCCAATTATCATATCTTCCTCCCCTCCTCTCACTGAGTCATAACAAAACCTCAAACAACCATATCTTTCATTGCTATGCCCCATGATCCAATGAATAATATTGCAGGATCTTTGATAAGCCATTTAGCTTTGGTTACATAATATATTGAATTGTGAAACATTTTCAAAGTGAAATTAGAAGAGAGACTTAAAGCCCCCTTCTGAAACTCAATTGTAAGGGCTTGTTCATTATCGTTTTTTTGTCTATTGTAGGCAAAAATATGGAAACTAGAAGAAGTAGTTTCCAATTTTCACTTGTCAATCTTCAAAATCAACATGATTAATACAAGTACGAATAATTATAAGTAGTGGTGGATCCAAGAGGAGGGTGACAATAGGCGAGTACAACTATTGAAAAACTTTGTCACATCGCTTGACATGAGCCACAATGATTGACAGTAGTACTAGGATGGGTGACCTTCTAGGAAGTCCTCATGTTGGTCCATGTAGCTGACCCACTTATGAGATTAAGGTGTTCAAGCAAACGAAGAAGAAGAAGAAGAGTAGCGGATCCAGAATTTCTAACTAGCGGTAGCATTAGACAATTAAAATACTTGAATATATATAAATGAATTAATCTTTTACAAAAAATTTAATGCATTGTATTATCTTTGATATGCCATTGAATAAACATAGTGTTAAGGTACATTTACTAAATCCCTTCCTAAATGAAGGTGTTTTGTGGATACAAGCTTAGAGTAATGGGTGGTTTTAATGTGGAGTTTTAGTAAAGGGTTATTTTGAACACTTAATCAGCTAGCCAATTGATATCATTAAATGATCACTTTAAGGCAGCAAGCTACCTGTGGTTTGGTAAGAAAAAGTTTCTACACTACATATCTCCATGAAACGAGCACATTAGTATTCCCATAATCATCTACATTACCAATTCATCTTTGTTATGCAGGCATAGCTACTTGAGATTCCTGCATTTTTAGTGCTAATCATAGGTATGATAAATGTTGGTGACATTATGACCATCATTTGCTTTTGATCCAGATCCTAGCTTGCAAATTGACCTTGCATGGTCAAAGCTAAGTCACTACACAAAGAAATATTTGAGTTGGCCACAACATGATCTTGTTGCCTGGTTTCCACCAGGGTCCTAGACTCCTAGGCTCCTAGCTTAAAGAGGGCCAGGATCAGGCAGGCATCTGCTAATCTTACGTGTACTTGTCAGATGCTCATAAGCTCAAGTCAGCACTGCCTATTCATCACCCAGTACATATATGAGTTTTAAGTTGCTGTTACACTGAAGAGCAAAATATTGCAAGTAATTTACATCTTTGGTCAGCATAGTGAATTTATTGTGAATTAAGGTGAGTGAAGCCATAATTCTGATTTAGGACCCTTAAGTGGTATCAAACGAGTGAAGCTTGTGAAGATCAAAGATCAAACAAATCAAGAAGCACGTTACTAATAAACAAGTCTTCAGTATCTTAATGATTCAATATGGATGTTTGGATGTTAACAACCACAACACAACTTCAGTCTACTCCAATATCTTCAACTTCAAGACCATCGATTCTAAATCCCCTGGTTGTTGACTCCCAAAATGATAGGTAAATTCATTGATCATTTATTTCCTTTTGTAATAAGCTAATTACCCTTTAACTAGATTGTTCGGAGACTATTGTTGTTGGGTTAAATTCGAAAATGATTTGTAGAATTAAATTGACTACCACCAAAAGACATTTGCAAGTTAATAAATAGTTCTTTAAAATCCTTTAGGAGACATTTGGTATAGTAATTTTAGATGTAAGAAACGGATTTAATTAAGTGTTTTCATTTCCAGTTGTTTGGTATGGGTTAAAAGTAACAAATACTCTTTCCGGGGGGTAACAAAATCACCCAATTTGTTACTCTCGACAAACAAGTGGAAACAAAATATGTTTCCTTACTCAATCACAATCTACCCAATTTGTTTCCATTCCACTAAGATACCAAACGAATAGTAACGGTAACGTTTATCATTACCCTTTCCCCTACTTATTGGAATCCTTTCCGTTTCATTTACAATGTTAATACCAAACACCCCCTTAAATAATCAGGTCCAGCAACACATAAATCTAGACTAAAGTAGCCTTTAGTTACATAAGTAACAGTCCACTCTCCAGACGTAGCTATGGTCTCTTCACCTAAAGTAAGGTTACCTGGTCTAAAAATTAGTAAGATTTACACTGTGTTTGGATAAATAAAGGGGATGGAAAAGAAGGGGAGGGAGGAGAAGAGGAGGGGAGAGAAAGGGAGGGGAAGGAAGAATGATGAGTTTTCCTTCAAAATCTCTCCCTTGTTGGAGGGATAAATTTCTTGCAATTTAATCCCTCCATTTCTCTCCCCTCCAATTACCTTTTTTCCTCATTTGTTATCCAAATGAAAGATATTTCATCTCTCTATTTCCCTTCCCTTCCTTTCCCTTCATTTCCTTCCATCCAAACACACCGTTAGTACAAGCTATTTTCCTACATATTCTCAGTTGTTCCCGAGTACACCAAGAGCCGTGTGTACCCATGAGTGCTTAGGTTCATTTTCTCAATTTTGCTAATTTAAACAAAATGGATAAAATGAACAAAAAAAAAACACCTCTTGGTACTCATGCACTAGAACAAGATAGAAGTGCTTCTAATCTCCTAATACAACTAAACTTTGACCGCATTAAACGCTCAAAAAAAAAAAAAAAAAAAAAAACAACATTATCCCATAAAATTCTTAACATTACAAGTAAAAGCTAAATAAGGATGTCAATCTCAAGAGACTTTACCAACCCTTAATAACAAAAATCTTAAACACGGTAAACTCCCAATTGCACAATATTTTCCAACAATTTTAGAATTATAATCAAGCGAACAATTCAACTATATTATGATAATATCTTAATTTCAACCAATACCCACCATAATTCTAAGACGTGACAGTAGAAGCAGCAATTAGAATTGAAGAGCAATTTAGCCAAACACATAGAGTAAAAATTAAACAAAGTTGAGTTGGAGGTGTTTTTAGAAGCTGACCTGAAAAGTGAGAGGAGAAACTGTGCAACGCAGCAGCGCCACCGTCATTTTCTCGTCGTTGCCGTGTGCTCCTCTCTCACTGCGCCTGTCTGTTCATCACACTCTTTTTTTTTTTTTTCTTTCTTTAAAAATGGTGATAAATGATACTCCTTTTGGGGGTGTTTGGTAAATGGGAATAGGGGGTGGGAATGGGAATAATAATCCTAATCTTTTTAAACCCATGTTTGATTGGTGGGAATTAAAAAAAAAACATCGGAATGAGCTTGGGAATATTTAGGTTGTATTCCTTACATTTTATTACTTGACGGGAGGAGGTAATATTTTAGGGAGAATTCACTAAATTGTTAAAAAGACAATACTACCCCTGTTTTGTGGCATATGTTTTAATATGCAATATGATAATAAGAGCAATCTTGTAAATTTTGCTTTTAATCCATCTATTATTCCCACATACCAAACATAGGATTTAAAATTTCTCAATCTTATTTCCAAAATATGCCAAACAAAGGATTGAGATTATTTCATTAATTCCCACCTATTAATTCCCATTCCCATTCTCACCCTATATTCCCCAAAATCCCAATCTCATTTGTCAAACGCCGCGTTTTGTGTTTTTTTGTTTTTTTTAAGTCTTACACTTACCAAATTCGGCCATGTTATAATAAGTGTTACACTTACCAAATCCGGCCGTATTTTAATAAGTATTACACTTCCTTTTTTGGCAACAAGCTACTTTAAAATATTATATCTCTCTCCTCTCATGGTCTCCACCCAAACCCACTAATACTTTCTTTATTATATATCTCCTCTCACATTCATTACTTTTCAATAAACTATTACCCTAACTATCTTTCTTTTACAATTATTTAATACTCCAACTACCCCACTTATCTCTTATTTTATTTAAGTCAATTAAATTGCCTAAAACTATGTCATGGTTAAACTATAACACTTAAAAAAAAAACACAGAGGGAGTAGGAAAAATGTAATCTAATAATACCACCTTTAGTTGATTTTCAATAAACATTCCCATCTTTTGAAATTACAAACAGTCCCACTTTTGACATGGATCTTCCACTAACAATCCTTGACCAGTTTTCTTAAGTTGGTAACCGGTTTTATTAGGTTGTTTGCCATGTGTTAAATTTTTATTGGTCTTGTAGGCGTCGTTCGAAGTGCGCCTACGTTAAAGCATGTTGTGAATATGCTTGGCACTCATAGGAAGTGGGACTTGACATATATGGTAAGGGACACGATTAGGGACAAGGAAAGTAGGGAGCCGCCAACAAGTTTTTAAGGAACTTGTAAACCGTTCACATATCATAAAAGGCAACCACGAGAAAGGGACAACGATAGGCAACAACGATTGACCCGTGAAGGTTACACCCCATTCATAATCCATGAGATTACTAACTCCATATGGTCGGAACCACGAAAGGAGGATCGGGGATGATGGTACGAAGTGAGTCATGGAGTCACATTCGCCCGTATTGGCCTCTACTCGATTCTTATATTGAAAAGCATTCCTGTAATCTCAAAGGCATACTAACAAAATATTCAATTCGCTCCAAACTATTATTTAACTAAATTGGTTGAATATTAATGCACACATTATTCTAAAATATTTGTGACCACTTCAATTAATAATAAGATTAAAAAGGATCCTAAACTGGTTGTCCAAATTATCTTATTAGGCGTGATTTTCAATTACATATTCCCTTTAACATGCAATATGGTGATCATAAAAATAATAGAATAACATCAATATTGGAAGCAATTTAACAATAATTCCAACAATATAAAATCGTTAGAAAAATAATAGAAACAAAAGGAACATAATTCTTACTTTGATTCTGTTTGTTTGCAACTACAAAATAATAAACGAGTTAGTAACTTCAAGGAAATAATAATAAAACAACAATTAAATTAAATTAAACAAAGTAGAGTTGATTTGGGGCCAAACCCTTAAACAGTTCTATCTTTCACGCCTTGGCTTAAGGACAGAACCACGAGTGAAGTATGAACTCCTTTGAGCACTTGAAGAAGGAATTTTGAAATGAGAAGAGTAGGCTAGTGTTTAGGCTAAAGCATAGAAGAGAGAAAAGTAAAACTAGAGAGTTCATTGATGCCCCGTACATCAGAAATGAGGGGGTATTTATAGGGAAAATGTGCTGAGGGAGCACACGGAACCCTAAAATGATAAAAACCCTAAAAAAGTATCCCATGATACGGCAAACTGTACCGTGACACGGGAAGTCCCACCGTCAGACGGGAAGCATTCCCGTGACACGGTACATTTTTGGTGTGACGCGGGAAATTTTCAGAAAACAGGAAAGAAAACCTGTTAAGGGTTTACGCGGAAAAGACACGAAAATTCCCGTGTCACGGCAGACTTCCCGTGTCCCGGGAAATCCCACCGTCAGACGGGACAGATTCCCGTGACACGGTGGGTACCTGCCGTGGCACGGGAATTCCCATTCCACTTTTCCGTCTAAATACATTTTTAACCCTAATTTCATTCGACATTCTTAAGTGTCGCTTAATAATTTCGGGCCTTTTCTGACTTATTATTATTTCGGCTAAAAATAAGAAAATAATTAAATAAAAATAAATAAAAGGTTTAGGCCAAAAATAAATAACAAATCAATAAAATAAAAAAGGTTTGGGTTAAAATTAAATAAGTTTGGGCTGAAATTGAAACTATGCTTTTACCAAACATCCAGGCTAATCCATGAACCGTTCAAAAATACGAATTTAATCAAATACGATTTTTTAAGTACTCTCGGGATTAAATACCGAACCCGACCAATAGTGGCGGTGAAAGGTTGTTCACCATCGGGTTTGGTTTTGGGGAGACATTTTTAGGTGTCTACAGAAGCCCCCACTTTGACTGAGTTTGTAGAAATGTCAGTTTCGAAAACGATAGTCAAAGTAGTCGATAGGGACGGAGAATGATTTAAGACGTTTTGCGATCCTAAATCACTCAGTATACGCCGACACCTGCAGAAAATGTAAATTCTACAGATAAAAAGGGTAAAAGGATAGAATACGTATCTGACACCAGTGTATCATTGACAAATGAGTTTGGCAGCTTCCTATGCTTGAAGGAATCCACCGGATGACATATGTTGAAACGCTTTCCATGCCTGAGGAAAGTCGACTGAGGAATTTGGTAGCTTTCTAAGACTGAAGAAACCTACCGGATGATACTTTCCATGCCTGAGGAAAATCGACGTATGAATTTGGTGTCATTCTATGCTTGAAGAGTTCCACCGATAATGCCTTCCTTGCTTGAGGAAAGCCGAATACTTGGCGGTTTTCTATACTTGAAGAAAAATCCATCGATAACGCTTTCCATAAGCTTTCCATACTTGAGGAAAGCCGACTTGGCGGTTTTCTATACTTGAAGAAAAATCCACCGATAACGCTTTCCATACTTGAGGAAAGCCGAATTGGCGGTTTTCTATACTTGAAGAAAAATCCACCGATAACGCTTTCCATGCCTGAGGAAAGCCGACTTGGCGGTTTTCTATACTTGAAGAAAAATCCACCGATAACGCTTTCCATGCCTGAGGAAAGCCGACGATTGCTGAAATTTGCAAGTATATAATGGTTCGATTATCCCCGAACGTGGACCGCAAATGATTCACACCTTCAAATCGATTATCCGACCATATTAGGTGTTTAAAATGCCGAAAAATAGACTTTGATGCTTGCTAGGGGTAAAATGGTAATTTTAGTCCCCTTTAAGTATCAGTTAGAATTTTCCGCGTAATTCCAGCGAAAAATAACTGTCCAATTTACGCGAAAAATCGTGCAATTTTAGTCAAAATGTCAGGAATATTCGCAGATAACTGTGTAGGGCAGGCACAATGCCACCGTGTCACGAAAAAGATTCCCGTGACATGGCACGAGTCCCCGTCACGCGGAGCAGTTTCCCATGACGCGGCAGGAAGGTTCCGTCACGCGGAACAAATTCCCGTGGTGCGGGAAATTTGTTGGCTGAAAAATCGGTCAACTGGCATCTTTGACCAATCAAAGCATGTGCACCACACAATATATGACCATTACGTGGGAACGGGGTTCGTTGCACGGGATTTATTTATTTTTGGTTTTAAATATCAACCCTTTCTCCCATTTTGCTCATCCACCATTCGTCTTTCTTGTCCGATTTTCACCCAAAGAAAAATCTTTTTTCTCGGATTTCCGTGTCTCGGCACGTACTCACCGGTGCTCGGAGCTTCTACCGTCGGCCGGCATAAATTACCATGTCACGGCGGTTCTGCTTCCCCTTTTTTTTCGCCGCAACTCGCTGCTAATCACTGCTGCTTGTCGTGCTGCTGTTGCCTGAAGCTGCTGCCGGTGTCGCCGGAGCTCCGTCTCTTCTCAGGTTCACCGTGACACGGAACACACTTACCGTGTCACGGCATTGACAAACCGTGTCGCGGTGGTCTGCTGGGTTGCCGGAGTTTTTTCGAGCTTTTGTTGCTCGATTTTTCACCAAATTCACTCCAAATTTTTGCCATACTCCTCATATTTGAACCTCTACAAGGATCTATGTAAGTTCCTCTTAATTTTTGTCTCGAATTTGCTTCAAATGAGTAATTTCATGAAAAACCCTGAAAAATCAATTTGGAGATTTTTGATTTTGAGGTTTTATGTTGAAATTCTTGCCATGAATTTACTTGTATATGTACGTATATGCGTTTGTGTGAAATTGCATGATTTGATGGAGAATTGAGCAAATCACCATTTTTGGGTACTACTTTTTGTGAAATGATGTTCTTATTGTTCATGTTACTTCTTTGCACTTGAAATGGTGAAATATTGATGGTAGATGATGTGTTGATTCATTGTTTTTGTGCAACTCCGAAACATATTTCGCGTACGTACTATATCGTCATGGAGAACATAGTATCATGCGGCTAGGTGAACTGTAGTATTAGTTTGTCATGGAGAAACTAAATACTATAAATACTTCCATAATTTTGCCAATTTTTAGCCTTGAGGTAAAAATTAAGCGTATAATGCAATAAACAACTAAATAACTTAGGAAATGATGCTAAGCATTTAGATTTTTTTATTAAAATGCAACTCGAATTAAATGTCTTAGGAAATGATGCTAAGCATTTAGATCTTTATTTTTATAATAGCATGCCTAGGCGACGGG